GAAACACAGGTAGTATCTCTGCCCAGTTCATGTTGTGAGCTGCTCAACCTAACAGTATAATGGGGTATTCATAATAAGTGTATATATGAGCAAGGTTAGTATCCATTTCCCAATCATAACATCACCTTCTCAAGCTTGCAAATACAGGATATATTCTGCTCGAGAAATTCTGTATTGGAACGAGATGAAGTCGAGTGCCAATACAGAATATTGAGTGGTCAAATTTTGTCAGTTTCCTAATTTTAATTTTCCCAATGACACGAAACTTCCCATTGGATAATATTATGAAGATAATATTCGACATTTATTTTTCCGAACCCGGCAAAAATTAGGAAAATAGGCAAATTAAATGATTAGGCAAAATTACCTCTTATACAGTATGACTATGCTACCATCCATACCCCTTTATACCAATAGACCGAGCACAACCATAAAGATACTTGCAATCATATTTTGAATTCTTCACCTCAATAACAATGATAGTTCATTTACACACCCAATCTGCACCAGTACTGTTTTAGGTTACAGTACTGTGAGGTACCATGAAATATGGTACCGTATGGTAAACTAAAACAGTACTGTACAGTACCGTGAACAATGTAAAGCGCGATACTCAAACGGTACCATACTTTTAATGTACCGTAAGGTAGCGTGATTTTAGTGTGCAGATTGGGGTGTAGCAGTCATGATCTAATAAGGTTTGATTACCGGATTTTCTCGCATATACGCCCCCCTAAATTTAGGCCCATGGGCCAGAAATCAAATGTAGTACGCTTATACGCCCATGGGCCTATAAAAAATGACAATTTATTGATTTTTTCAATAAATTCAAGAGTATTTTATCACTGGCAGATCGTTCTATCGTTACTTTGTTTCAAAATTAAGTTCAAAGCTGTGCCGTAAGTGGCTGTGATGGATCGTTCTGTTGTTACTTTGTTTCAACATTAAGTCCAAGGTTGTAGGTGACATTTCCTTTATAAATCTTACAAAACATGCATTAGGACTACAACAGTAGGTACGGTAGTCCATCGTATTCATCAGCTCTTCTCACCTTTACGCCCACTGGGCCAAAAATCGAAAGTAGTACACTTATACGCCCATGGGCGAAAAATAAGAGGTAAAATAACCGACGAAATTACCCCTTCTTTCAGTTATACGCCCAGGGCTTATATGCGAGAAAATCCGGTAATTAAAAAAAAAGACGTTACATTCAGCAGATTATTTTCTCCCTTTCTCAAAAAATTGCAAATACAGCGTGAATGATGAGATTGCCTTGGTATAACAAAAAAAAAACATATTTGTCGATCATTCTACAAAAATGGTTTTCTTATGCATTTATACTTTCACATGCAGAGAGGGTAAATGTAGGAATCTATTAAGATTTACCCTCACATGTAGAGGGCATATTTAGGAACATATTGAGATTTACCCTCACATGTAGAGGGCATACTTAAGAATTTATTAAGATTTACCCTCACATGTAGAGGGCATACTTAGGAATCTATTAAGATTTACCCTCACATGTAGAGGGCATATTCAGGAACATATTGAGATTTACCCTCACATGTAGAGGGCATATTCAGGAACATATTGATATTTACCCTCACATGTAGAGGGCATATTCAGGAACATATTGAGATTTACCCTCACATAAAATATATGATGATAACAAACTAAATAACAATATCTTCTTTAATAATTCATTATACTGAACATGATCTTTTATATCAAGTGAAATGAAACTTTCCATATTATGCTATGGAAAACAATGAAGTGATATAAATCAGATAATTTCCAAATAATAATAATAATAAACGATACAGTATGAAGTTCATATTGTACATTCTAAAATCAATAAAAAGTTCATGACCAATATAATGAATATAGCTTTTAGGTATATCTTATCTACCAGATCTTTTTAACAATATAATATATACTTTGATAAAGGCATTTAAAATATATGATGATAAAAAATTTAACCTTTGTAGTATGCAATACAGTACAGCACATAACTAAGCTGACTGGGGAGTGAGGCAAAGTTTTGTGTTGGACCGTACTGTAATAAAATGCAATTTATGTTCACAATGAATAAATCTGTACAAAGCTGCGATGAGCCAAAATATATTTTTACAAAATGATAAACCTTGGTCCAAATACTGTAAAAGGTAGAAAAGGTTCCTCACCAGGAGAGCTAAACTCTCCTAAAAATATTTAGGCCAAGGTTTAACATCATGTTTCACAAATATACAATCTTCCTTATTACACTTTTATTATAGAGAACATTTGTGAAGCTCAAATAATATATTCGTTAATTATATAGTATCTCCTCCAATGATGCATATTCATACATTTCCATAAATGTATATGCAAAAACAGTCAAATGAAAATACTGTAAGCACTGTACATGTGACATCTAATTTGTATTTTCACTTGCCCAATACATTTTATAAAACTCGGAACACTCCCTTTTTCCGATATTTCCTCTCCCGTCAAAGAGAGAATTGTAACATTGCTTTCGCATCGCCAATGTTTCATAATTTATGTTAATTTATTCATAATCTAGGCTGTCTCCTCAAATTCTGATTGGCTAATTTTGCATATTTACAAAGCATGAATATCTGACGTATTGACTAGAGTTTAATAACAGACTCCAAAATAAGCAATTTTACAGCAGTTATTTCAAAAGCCATTTTGATGAATTTCAAATGAAAATAAAGCTAAATCATTATTTTTTTCGACCTCAGACTAGGAATTTCATATAAACACTGAATGGCGTTCATTTATATATTTTCTGAACTGCCTATGAAATCTAAAGTAAATTCTGCTTAAATCAAAAAACATTTTTACACGATGACAATAAAACAGGGTTCGTAAAACCTGTTAAAGTAAATAGAACATTCAGATCAGCCAATGAGAATTTAACGCATGCCAGCCTTCGTAAATTGACACGTGACCTTTCGTCACAGACGCCAACCAAGACATCAAATCCACAGGATGTAGTTGCTCTATATCAAATTATTCTTACATTTTCTAAACACATAAAATACATTTATGCAAGATTATTTGTGGAAAACTTCGATGAAACATTACATGACGTTATAATAGCCTACAGTGAAGCACAGTCCTTTATACCTAAAAATTTTCTTAATTACTGTACAATTTTTGACACCCTGTATATGCATACTTGTATTGCATATAGTACATTAAGGTAGTCTAAGTATAATGAATTATTTGGCTGATAACTTGATCTTTAACACATACAGGTTCCAAAGTCATTCCACCAGGTCTACCTGAGCATACAATCTTCAATGTAAGAATGTAAGTATATACTGGGTGATCTACAAAATATGTAACACTTATCTCTTCATATACAATAGTGCGAATGAAAGATTTAACCCTTGTAGGACTGAGTTGTTTCGGACCAGGATATTTATCAAAGAATAATTGATTATAGATGTGTACTTAAGTAATGTGGTTCAACATGTTATATATCAAATGAAAGAGGTTCTATAGCTTTCCAATGGTACCTCATATCATGGGTTAGCAATGCTGGATCTTATAATTTTATGAAAATGTTGATCCGAAAACATAACTGGTAGTCCTACTAAGGTTAAATCTTTTCCAAAATACATTACAACTGCTCTATATATAGTCAGTATGTACATTTAAAAATACAGTCAAAAACACTTTCAGTATTTCATACTCGTTGTAGCACTAAACATGGATCTCGTTGTTCAAAAATATTTCAAAAAATATTAACGATATTTTACTTACATTGCTTGGAAGATGCTATTCAGGACGGATCAATACAGGAGTATTACCCACAATGCATCACAATATTACCCAGAGTGCTCCAGTGACCTTGACAGGAAGGTCAGATTTACATTATCTGGTGCATAAATACTCTACATCCTAATTTCAAAATAGATGTACCATATTTTATATTCATTACACAATTAATTCTCTCAATCCAGTATGCATCATTTTTTCATGGTCTATTTACATTGTATTGTCAAAAATTGGACCCTGTAAATTTCAAATTACTTTTCAATACAATTCACTGTTGAAATTATAACCTAAAAATGTATCAACAATAAAAAACAAATTAAAATATCCAATGTTGAAAAATTTTGAATTTTGACAATTATTTGACAGGTATTTTGGCCAGTAATAAGCTTGTGGCAAGTGGCATGGATATACAGTATATTTGAGAATTTTGGCAATTTTGTTCAAATCAGAGACAGTTTTAATGCAATATGAATTAAGCAGCTATACTTAGACACCCTACAAAATAATTGTCTGTGAAATAATGAGTCATTGAAATGCATTATAAAAGGCAAAGAAAGGGTTCCATGAAGTCTAGCATTTAGTTTAATCCAACTTGGAAAAATTAACTGTCAGAATTTGGAAAGGAATAAAATAAGGCTAAGGCAAAAAATTGTTTGGCTTATTAAACAGACAATTAGTTTGCTCAGACCTGAACATTCAATAGTACATATGTATTTATCTTTTAACTATTATATACAGGGTGACTGAAATATTTATTCTGGTTCATTCTGTGCACTCTTGTATTCCTGAGACACCCTGTACGCAAGTCTAGAGGATAGAATTCAAAATTCTCTGTTGTATTTAATGGATTTGAACCCATCAGGCTGCAAATTAACAAAGTAGTTATGTCCAGTCCATTCCATTCAATGACAATAGTGTATAGCAGTGTTTCATGGACGAATTTCTGATCAGCAGTATACCCTTGGATCAGATCTAGTTTCCATTGTGACATCATAATTCCATTGTGACATCATAATTCCATTGTGACATCATAATTCCATTGTGACATCATAATGTGCTACATCATCAGTACTACAATTAAACCAGAGATTTGTCTTTGATCTACACATGAATCAAGTGATCCTGGATTATGACGAATGCATGTAGCGACCAAAACACCAAGTTGATATGTAATATTACTATATTTGGCGTCCAAATACAACTGGTAGCTTTATCCACCCTATAAGAATTCATTTCCTAATGTTGTTGCTCCTTCTAAGTGGTATATCACATACTACTATTGTGGATACTATGGATTTATGGATCAGGGACTTCACTAAAAAGCCCTGCTTTTTTTTAGTGTACAGCATTTTCTTCCTTATTACTGCAATGCTCCTAGCTATACCTCTTAATTAATAAACTGCACTGTGAAAAACACGTCTCACTAACAATGGAATCTAATTATGTTATCCATTTATATCAGTCTATATACGGATTACAGATAGATATATGTTCGTTGGTGAAACCTGTTCAGTATCTCAATGTTTAAAAACTGACATAGTATTAAGCTTTGATGTCAAACAAATCAAGTTTTCCACAATGACGCCATCTGAAACACATCCTGTAATTCAAGCCCTTTGATTGTTGTCGTTGCTAAGATGTTGTTAGTTACTATAGCGACATGTTTTATGTTACCAGCGCCCACTTTGGCTGGCGATGTCGCGGTCGATACGACGCAAGATAGGTGGGGCTGACGGAGGTGTCATTGTCGGGCGACTCTCACGGTACGCATTATTAGCTCCAGGGGGCACTGAGAATTGGGAACATCTTTTATGCAGATCTGGAAATTTGAGTCAAAATTTAGCAAGAGTAACATCATGATGTATGTAATATCCAAATATCATGAGGCTTAATATGGTCATTCTGTCAAAATATCATGAGGCTTAATATGGTCATGCTTAATATGGCCATCAAGTGATGTCATTCATAGGTTTTTAGGGAAATCCTTCTCTGGGGACTGGATAGTCAAATACTTTCATCTGGCGATGCTCGTTGACCAATCATAACAAAGTATTTACATAAAGATACTAACAATAAGCAAATATGTTTCATTCTATTTCCGCAGTAAATATGCTGTGGTACATTTGATCACATGGTAATACATTAACCAATCAGAATGTAGGGATTCTAGCATGAGTGTGTTATTTACCTGCAATTGCAAGGAGCATTTTTCTGCGTGCTCCAAATGTTGAGATTCCAAGTTCCTTTAAGTCTTGGTCAGACAGTGTCAGGAATGTAGCCAAGTCAATCTGCAACCAATATGATGTCATGATAAGAAGGGTGTCAGTGTACACTTCAATGTCATAATATATTAAAGAATGATGTCAATATTTATGTTATTTTTGAGTTATAAAGATTCAAAGCTGACATGCATCAATAAACTTTTCCATCATCCTCTCAAATCACTGTAACTATGGAATCATGATTTAACGCCTTCCTCAGACACTGTAAATCACTAAAACTATGAAATCATGATATAATGCCATCCTCAGACACTGTAAATCACTAAAACTATGAAATCATGATATAATGCCATCCTCAGACACTGTAAATCACTAAAACTATGAAATCATGATATAATGCCATCCTCAGACACTGTAAATCACTAAAACTATGAAATCATGATATAATGCCATCTTCAGACACTGTTCACTGACAATGCATTGCATTGTATTGTAATCAACAATAGTAAGAAAAGTTAGAACTCAATATTGTTGACCATTTAGAAATAAATCAAATGTACTTAGATTGACATATTAACAATGGTTTAAACAATACAATACCTCTTGCTGCGTGAACAAGTCGGTGTATTTGCCAAGACCAAGGGTACAGAACAACTCAGCTAGGTCTGTAGCGGGGGTGGGGGTGGAGTTCACTGGAGTTTGAGGGGGCAGATTGCTACCAGTGTCAGAAATACCATACTCAGGAGCTGAAAATAAATTTGTTTTGTATAACTTAACTATTGTATCTTCATAGACTGAAATAAAACTATATTTGAAAAGGAAAAAAAATTAATCGACATGTTTTTATGAGAACTTGTTTGCGAAAGTGTATAATAATCAGCCTTACTAGGGATTACTTCTCCCATTCATATAGAATTGAGTATAGAGGCGCGAAAGTAGTTGTAATCCGGTCTCTAGAAGAACCAACTGAGAGTAGAACAGTTATTCCTTGGGGTCACAACAATGTGTTGCTTTAATAAGGCATTAAGGCAAAATGTTACGATCTGGTAATTGATACAAATACCAAAGAAATTGAAAACTGCCCTAATAAGAATACATGTAAATAATAAAACCAGAAGGGAGGACAACATGGGAATAAACTTACCCTCCTAAACATGATGATGATGAAATGTTACAGACACCGGATGCTGACTCACAAATGCCGACCAGCGAAATGTCGTCCCCAAAAAATTTGGAGGCTATAACTTGTGGTGATGATAAAGTAAATAATAATAAAATAATACATCTATTTTATTTGTTGCTTACTTTTTCTGCGTGGACTGTACTCCCCAGGAGCTGCGTTAACTGGTGGATTGTAAGGAGTATGAGATTTAGAATCTTTCCATGGGTCTCGGTCCTCATCCTCCCCAACATTATTCTAGAAAATACATCCCATAATTTTTATATATATATATATGTTATTTGTATGTATACACGCGTTTATATTTATTACAATTGTAGAAGTAATATAACTATGTGGTGAAAGCAACTCATTGAGTTCCTAGTACATACATACATGTACCTAGTACTACATTTTATATATAAAATAAAGGTCTTTCTTGAAATATATTGATGCAAAAGGTGTTATGGTCCTCCAATTAAGTCTCCTTCTATATGGCTCGTACTTGCCATAATTAAATGAACCTGTCTCAGAACACAATAAATATAAAATGTAACACGTCCTTGTTATTAACGTATGTACCTATGCAAATTTTTGTGGTCCTATAGAAATTTTGATCCCCTCCTAAATGGCCAATACTGATCGATTAAACCATGGAATTGTTTAAGTAAGACAAATTACCTTCATGCTTCACCCTGTAGAAGTTCATTAGTTGAAGTTATTATTTCAAATTCAAATTTTAAATCCACCTACACTACCCAAAATAACTTAAAAATAACAAAATATATGTTTGTACCTCATACATGGTCCCCATGGTAGGGCCTTTATATTTAGTATAACTATTGGCCAACTGATCTCTGATGGCAGAATCTGGCATGGACTTTGAGAATCCTAGGCCTGACCAAAAATCTGTAGGTGTCCTTGATTCTCCTTCCGGTTTCTTTTGCACAGCTGAAAAAATCCAGATTTGTTCAAATTCATTAAAACTAGAGATCCAAATTTAACATTGCATTAAAAGTTATCCACACAGCATCACTTCATTTCTGTTAATTCTTATTTATGAAATCCATAAGTACTCTGTACTAGTTGTAACCAACCATAGTTATTGTGATGTCATCGTCAAAGAACAGACTCCTGAATTAATAAACTTAAGAGTGGGTAAGAATAATGCACTTCTGAATAAAATAAATGCAGCATTAAGAATAACTAAGATAAGCTACCAACCTTTCGTTGCCAATAGTTTTTTGTGCTCATAATTTTCTGGCTTAATATTGAGACCTGGCGGCAATCCATTTGTGGCACGTGGCATTATGGGAGATGCACGGGGCATTATGGGAGATGAGAATAAACTTGATGTTGATTGGTCGGGAGATATTTTATTTTCAGAGCTAGTATCAGAATCTGCACCCGACTCAGAGGATCGGCTGCCAGTGTTACTGAAAAGGAACAAAAATCAAAAACGTGAAATTATGTAAAATAGAGTGAAATCAGAAAGAAAAACTCAAGGCATTTAACACTCTGATTTATATAAAATGCAAGATTTGAGAGAGAAATTGAGTGAGACATGCATGAAACATGAATTTTGCTTGAGAAATTGAGCAAAATAAGCATGAAACCAAGGAATTAGCTATGAAAAACACAAAAAAAACTATAGCCATGTATCATTTAATCCAGGATTTATCTAGGGGTAACGAAAATACTCACGAGAAGGGGGAGGGATGACTTGGTCGTTTTCCCGCCAACATCATGGCAGCTTGAGAAGGATGTGCGAGTCCAAATAAATCTGCGCCATTTCCACTATTTGAAGGTGATATGTGCTTCGCTAAATTATATAAATTACCGCCATTGTCAAGGTCAGGTGACATTGGCTTGTTCAGTCCGAATAAATCACTAGCGGTACAGCTATTACTAGGCGAAGTCTTTTTATTCATAACAATGTCTACATAATTGTGACCGCTACTTAGGTTGCGTAGATCTACACCTGGAAAATGAGGGATATAGTGAGTACATTAATCATCTAATGGTAGGCTTAAGATACTGGGTTTATCTCATGGGACATATCTGTACTCTAGAGCACAAAACACATGTGACAAAAATTATAATTCTGAATGACTTCAAGAACATCAAGGATTCAATGATTTGTGGGTGATTTATAGTGCAAGGTTGAAGGTTCTCGGCAGTAGTCAAAGTTTAAGCCCAGCAAACAAGTAGAGTGCTTTAAATCAGCAACAATTTTTTGAGTCCAGTGCTTTAATTCTTTTTTATACAATATAATACATACAAAGCTGTATTAATTTTGTATCTTGTATTTCACACTAGCATACAATCATATGTTAGGGTACTTACTGTCTGCATTAATAGGACCATTTAGACTGGTTGTGTTTAGAGGACCATTTAGACTGGTTGTGTTTAGAGGACCATTTAGACTGGTTGTGCTTAGAGGACCATTTAGACTGGTTGAGTCATTGTTTAGTGAACCATTCATATGTGACACATCTTTATTTAGAAGCGTGTTCATATTAGATGTGTCATTGTTTAGAAGTGTGTTTATATTAGAAGTGTCTTTATTTAGGAGATCAATAGGACTTTGACATGGGGAAAGTGCAGGACTTTGTAGGCTAGGACTTTCTACACTGCTAGATGTACTGCTTGGACCTGCAATTAGAAAGTATAAAATGCCATAACTGAAGTGTTGATTGGAACAACTTGAGCAAAGCATTGACATGAAAATGTCACCACCTGCCATTTGTTATGCTGAACAATTGCCAAGCACCAACAGTTGACACAAAGAAGTTGGAGACTTTAACAATATGTCACCACTTCTGGTGGTGACAGAATAAAGAATAAGAGATGGCATCGGGATCTTAAGAATCAGAAATGAAGCTTTCATGGCCTCTACTGCAATATAAAATTTATTTATTGTAAATGAATTGTGCTCAACTTATTGAGATGTTGAACTAAGAGGTTCATTTACATTAAATAAATGAGTGTTCCACTTTTAGCGATGTTCAAATTACGAAGCGTTCCACTTTACAGGTTTAACCTCCAATAAAATAAAGACATCCTGCGCAATTTCTTTACCTTTTTCTGAGGAATTGGGTGTCCTCTGATTGCTGCCAGTGTTTTTATTGGGTCCACCATTGCACTGTGAATAAAGGTTCTGCTGGCTTTGTTGATTAGTTAGGTTAGATGTTGTAGGTACAGTCTGTGTAAATCCTGGAGGTGGCCCTGTTACAACCATCATTGGACTGTACACACCTGTAAAGGAAGTACTGTATGATTCATTTTTGGATTTGTGTGTCTTTTTATTTCTGAATTTTATTATTGTAAACCTCTCTTATCTGAACATTTCACAATGTAAACACTTTTTCTTGGTCCTAAGACCCACATATTAAAAACATTGAAATGGGAACACCGAATAATCTGAACACTTTTGACAGATCTCAGTGGCGCTTAGTTAAGACAGGTTTTACTGTACAAAATATTCAAATATTTGAAAACAAGAAAATTTGTGAATAAGTTGGTACATAGACAAGACAGCCCATTTTTCCCTCTTGGCAGTGGATTTGGAAAAACTGGTTACCTATTTGGCAATGGACTGAATGCCAATATGGTGAATTGTGGCAATCATGTATTTAACATTAGACTTGAACCCTCGTCATTCGTGAAACATACCTATGAATGGTTTTGTACAATGCAATGACCACAAAAAGGGTGAATTAAAGAGGTTGATACATTAAAACAAATGGTTCAACATAATGTGAGAATCTGGATGGAGTGATTTAGGGAGGTGTATACATTGTATGTACCTGTAAAAGCCCCAGTAGTTGTCCATGCAGTTCTTGGACTCTGAAGGTTCTGTATGATACGAGGGCTTGGGAGTGTGGTGGGGGATGAGTTTGCTACATTGTACATACCTGTAAAAGCCCCAGTAGTTGTCCATGCAGTTCTTGGACTCTGAAGGTTCTGTATGATACGAGGGCTTGGGAGTGTGGTGGGGGATGAGTTTGCTACATTGTACATACCTTTAAAAGCCCCAGTAGTTGTTCATGCAGTTCTTGGACTCTGAAGGTTCTTTATGATACGAGGGCTTGGGGGTGTGGTGGGGGATGAGTTTGCTACATTGTACATACCTGTAAAAGCCCCAGTAGTTGTCCATGCAGTTCTTGGACTCTGGAGGTTCTGTATGATACGAGGGCTTGGGAGTGTGGTGGGGGATGAGTTTGCTACATTGTACATACCTGTAAAAGCCCCAGTAGTTGTCCATGCAGTTCTTGGACTCTGAAGGTTCTGTATGATACGAGGGCTTGGGAGTGTGGTGGGGGATGAGTTTGCTACATTGTACATACCTTTAAAAGCCCCAGTAGTTGTCCATGCAGTTCTTGGACTCTGAAGGTTCTGTATGATACGAGGGCTTGGGGGTGTGGTGGGGGATGAGTTTGCTACATTGTAAATACCTGTAAAAGCCCCAGTAGTTGTCCATGCAGTTCTTGGACTCTGAAGGTTCTGTATGATACGAGGGCTTGGGAGTGTGGTGGGGGATGAGTTTGCTACATTGTACATACCTGTAAAAGCCCCAGTAGTTGTCCATGCAGTTCTTGGACTCTGAAGGTTCTGTATGATACGAGGGCTTGGGGGTGTGGTGGGAGATGAGTTTGCTACGTTGTACATCAGCAGTGGATTGGCTGTATTGATACTGAGCATATTGTGACCAAACATTCCTGAAAACATACAATATAAACATTCCTAAAAATCTTTATTATAAATTTCCGAAAATATCAATTAATAGTATACCTGAAAATACTGATTAAGAGTACATGTACTCCTGAAAATCACGAATATGTATTATTGATTACATTCCACAAAATATCCATTGAAATGTTAAACAAGATTTTTATTTTACAAATTATAGGTAGTGAGGTAGCACCGAAAAATGTACCCGATTCTGAACAAATTGAAATTACTTGTTTCTTATGTATTTTTATGTGATACTTCAGAAAAATTTTGTCTGACGAGCCATTTCCGGGGCGAAAGTTGTCAAAATTGGGTTTTTGACCCTAAAAAGGAAAATTACAGGGGGTACATTAACATCATTGAATAATTCATTCAGTTAGTCTTCAATCATCATAATGATTTTATTGAGAGTTGATGAGATCATTTTAAGGTAGTATGCAAACTTTCAATGGTCTGTCACTCGTGGTTGCCATGGAAACCACAATTTTTGCTGAGAAAATCCTTAATTTTGGTAAAACCTGTACCTGTACATAATATAGAATGTGGATTATTTTTCAAATCAACAGATATCAGAACATTTTAGCACTCTAAAAATCACCAGGGCTGTCCAAACATTTGTTTAAAGAGGAAGAATATTGCAATTTTTATGACTGGTAAGTGTCAAAGACCATACAATTACATAAGTGGTCAAAAGTGGGCGTCGCCCTCATAATAGTAGTTGATTGCCATTCTCTATAAATACAGAGTTTTACTTGACTTTTGAGATACATTTATATTGAATTTCTTTGGTTATACTTAATATCAAGCATTTTTACATCTAAGTGTTATAATTATTGCATGGGGATACAGGGGGGAGGGGGGGAGGGGGGGGGGTAGTAACAGAATTGGGAGGGGGCAGAGCTTATCAGCCTTAAGTGTAAATCTCATCTACATGGTTCTAGATTTCATAGGGTACAGCTTCTGGGTCTTATTATATTCATCTCAATATATAAGATATATGAATTTACATGGTTGGTAAGTGTCAAAGACCATAGAATTACACATGTGATCAAAAGTGGGCGTCGCCCTAATCATAGTATATGGTTCATTCTCTATAAATACAGAGTTTAACTTGACTTTTGAAGTACATTTACTTAAAAACATCTTTGATTTATACTTAATGTCAAGCATTTCTGGTAAGTTATATATGTACATCTAATTGTAATAGATTGTCTGGAGGTGGAGGAGGGGGGGAGAGTAACAGAATTGGAAATGGGCAGAGCTAATAAGCCTTAAATGTAAATCTCATTTATTTAGTTCTGGATTTCAAGGGGTGCATCTTCTGGGTCTTCTTCACTTCTGGGTCTTCTTCATCTCAATATATGGGATATTCCAATTTACATGATTGGTAAGTGTCAAAGACCATACAATTTCATAAGTGATCAAAAGTGGGTGTTGCTCTAACAATAGTAGATAATTCATTCTCTATGAATATGGAGTTTAACTTGACTTTAAGATTTATTTTTTAAATTAAAACTTCTTTGATTACATTTAGTATTGTAATATTTATTCCCTGTCTGGGGGGGGCAAGGGGGGTAGTAGCAGAAATGGGAGGGGGCAGAGCCAATGGCCAGTCAGTCTTAAGTATTAATATCATAGTCTGATCATTTTCATTCACCTCCCGATGTTAATATATTAACAATATCATGTGGGAGAATATACCACTACACTTGCAGATTTGAGAGTCATTCAGTTGAGTGTATCTATATGGCGCTCCACCTTTGCCTTTTAAAAAGGTGCTATTGCTATTGCCCCTTCTGCATGGCACTTCATCTGTGAATGTGTGAAGTGCTAGGAAGGCTGCATATATGTCAGGGTCTATATTGGAGGAAATACCACTGACATCAGTCTTCATTTGTTTCCAACTCAAATATCCAGCAGCACACTTTGCTGTATTTGCTTTTTGTTTTCATCATCATACAAGAACTAATTCCAGTCTTTAGGGACTCGTGTTTTTCTACCTTAAATAGGGCAAGGTGTCCCTCCCCTCTTTCAGGTTCCTTTATAGAATTTTTGATGTAATTATCACATACAAAAACGAATCAATCTGCAATTGTAGAATCTTGAAACAGTCTCCGCCAGATCCAGAAACAAAACTACCTTTCAAGTTGAATTATGGTTTTGGATAGTTGGGGTTTGTTTTCCTTATGACTTGTATACATTTAGAAGTTTTATTTTTCTTGCTGGGTTCTATTACAAATTTTGGTCCTTTCCCTTTGGCACTTGTGGGTACATGTTCATGCATAGGGATGCGTTTCTCTGTTCTTGCAAGAAGTCCAGTCAGTGTTCCTAGAGCCCAAGGCACAGGGCTCAATAGGATTCTAGGCTAATTTTATGTTCTTAAGCAAGATCGAAGCTGTTCAAAGATGTTTCATTCAGAATGTATTTGTATAAGCCTGTCCTGAGTACTTTTTACTGTCACTGTCACTGTTGCTGCTGTAGTTTGCTGCTATAGTTTTCAATTTCATATGTTTTATTAGATCATGAAATCTTTTTTTCAACTAATCTCAGATGGTTTCTCTTCATGCAATTTCCCCCTTTGACTAAAATTAGATGAGATCTGCAGCGACATCATTTGGCACAGATTTTCCTTATGATACACCGTAGAGATGACCTTCATCCTCAATGGTAAATGGATCAAGGAAGTCTTTGATTGCGGTTTTTGTCATCTTTATGTCTTCTTCTATACTTGCTATTTGTGCCTTTCCAAGGTCATTATGGGTGTCACACTCATCTCATCTCTAGATAATTTTCCTAAGTTGGTCTAATGAATGACTGTCTGATTGTTGTAACCATCTCATCCATATAATGCACTTATTGTCTGTATGGCCCATATTGCAAATCCTCGTAGTGAACCACCAGATGGACTGGAATGGAAACTAAATGACTCCATATCTTTCCAGTGGGTATTGACTGATATTCTCATACAAGAGATTGGTGATATAGCAACACCAGGAGATGAATCAGAAAACCCCAGAAGATGTACCCTATGAAATCCAGAATTAAAAAGATGAGATTTATACTTAAAGGCAGATTAGATCTACACATTCTAATTCTGTTACTACTCACCCCTGCCCAAATGTAAAAACTATAATACTTACACAGATGTATTTACCAGAAATGCTTGACATAAATTATAATAACAGCAGTTCATAACTATGAATGTATCTCAAAAGTCAAGTTCAATTTTGTATTTATACAAAGAACCAATCATCTACTATTGTTAGGGTGACACTCCTTTTGATCATTTATAAATATGTAATTGTATGGTGTTTGACAAATCCTGTAAATTGTAATATCCCATATATTGAGATGAATATGAAGAAGACCCAGACGAGGTGCCCCATGAAATCCAGAACTATGCAGATGAGATTAAGGCTGATTACCTCTGCCCCCTCCCTATTCTGTTACTACTCTCCCCCATCCTCCCCAGGCAAGAACTATTACAATTAGATGTGCATTACTAACCAGAAATGCTTGAAATTAAGTATAATCAAAGAAGTTGTAATGTAAATGTATCTCAAAAGTCAACTTAGACTCTGTATTTATAGAGAATGAATCTATAAGGGCGACGCCCACTTTTGATCACTTGAGTAATTCTATGGTCTTTATACTTACCAATCATGCAGAATTATAATGTCCTATATATTCAGATGAATGTGAAGAAGACCCAGAAGATGAACCCTATGAAATCCAGAACTATGTAGATGAGATTTATACTTAAGGGTGATTAGCTTTGCCCTCTTCCAATTCTGTTACCCCCCCCCATCTACCCCCTCCCCAATGCAATAAGTATAACACTTACATGTACATTATTTACCAAAAATGCTTCATATTTAGTATAACCAAAGAACATCATTATAAATGTATCTCAAAAGTCAAGTAAAACTCTGTATTTTTAGAGAATTGCAATCATCTACTATGATAAGGGCGACACCCACTTTTGATCACTTATGTAATTGTATGGTCTTTGACACTACCCAGTTATGTTAATTGCAATATCCTTTATATTTAAATAAATGTTTGAACTGCCCTTGTAATTTTGAAAATGCTAAAATGTTCTGATATCTGTTGATTTGAAAAATAATCCACATTCTATATTATGTACAGGTACAGGTTTTACCAAAATTAAGGATTTTCTCAGCAAAAATTGTGGTTTCCATGGCAAACACGAGTGACAGACCATTGAAACTTTGCATACTACCTAAAAATGATCTCATCAACTCTCGATAAAATTATTATGATGATTGAAGACCAACTGAATGAATTATTCAATGATGATAATGTACCCCCTGTAGTTTTCCTTTTTAGGGTCAAAAACCCAATTTTGACAACTTTCGCCCCGGATATGGCGCATCAGACAAAAATTTTCTGAAGTATCACATAAAAATACATAAGAAACAAGTAATTTCAATTTGTTCAGAAGCGGGTACATTTTTCGGTGCTACCTCACTAACTATTATTAATTACAGCCTTGATACAACTTCACAACATACCGAGTCCCGTCAGTCCCAGACTTGCAGCAGTGGGGTTATTATTTGTTAGGAGTAATCCATCTTGTTCGAGTCCTAACAAGATGCGTCGTGCTTTATGCAAATTAGGTGCATTCCGCTCAATACTTTTAACAATCACAGATTTGCTTGGTTGTTTGGGTTTTGGTTTGATGCTGATGAAGACGTCTAGTTGCTCCATTAGTCTGGTGATTCGTGCTGGAAGTGGAAAAGGACATGAATATAAAGACGTCTAGTTGCTCCATTAGTCTGGTGATTCGTGCTGGAAGTGGAAAAAGACATGAATGCACACAAAGCAGACAATTATGTTCGTGGGATGTTGATGTTATCTATCTGATGATTCTTTCAATTTAAATTCTTTATGATTTAGGTTAACAGTTTGAACTGTTTGCTGAAATATATAATTTCATAATATTACTGAAAATGAAATCTGTTTCAAATAAGCACCTTGTCCATCCATATGCCTTAAACAAAATTATTATATAACCCCAATTCAAATTATGAATATAATGTAATAGTAACAAAACAAAATGGTTGATTTTATAAAAGAGGAAAATATATATATAGACAAAGATGACCAGTAAATACCTAAATATGAAGCAAGAAAATAAAAAGTTTCCCGACACCCAGTCTGAGATACCAACCAAGAATAATGCAAATCTTATTTTATCAAAGGATATTATTTTGAGACACCAACCAACAATATACATATCTATTTTATCAAAGGATATGTTTTGAGACACCAACCTGCATTAAGATATGTGAAATATTTGCTATTGCCAACAAGACCATCAGCGATGTCTGAATAAGTTAAACAGTTGATGTTAAAAGTGTTTTATGTATGAGAGATGTTCCATATGTGCCCATGGGGAAATATATTTAGATTTTAGGCCCTGGATCGATGGCCAGAGAAAATTTGTCAGTCACTAGCAAAAGGCTAACTAAATAAATGGTCACTTGAGAAAATTTTCACACGAGGGATGTTAGATAGGGATAAGTGTTAACTATAGAGAGAGAGTTTCACAGACTAGAGAGATATTATTTATGATCCTCTTACAAAGATTTTTTGAAACTTGCTAAAATGGTTTCTAGATCCCCATTTGTGTTTTATTTCATACTTACACTGATCTATAGTTTCTTGATCCTCTTTCATGTCAAACATCAACACTAGAGGGAGACAGTCGATCAGCTGTTGACGGGCCTGAAATATGCTCTCGATACTTCCTGTGAGATACACGGTGCCTTTACGCTGGGGGGTAACTGTCGTCTGCTCGGGAAAATGTATAGTAGCGCCTGTGCGCTGCATTATATGTTTAATGTTCATGCCGCCACGGCCTATTATGAATAGATGGTGCTGAGGTGCAATCTCCATTTGCATGCTCACTGGTAGTGTTCCCTGAAATATCAAAAAATTCAAAATGTAAAAATGTATGTAGGTTTTTCTCTTGCATTAAATCCCTATGTTATCCCTGTCTCTTGCTAAGAAATACTCCGAGAAAGTTATAATGCAAGAGTAAAACTGGTATCAATGTGTACGCATCCATTAAAATCTAAGTGGTATTCCTTAATTGTCTTTTTCTCCATATAACCTTTAAATTGAAATTCCAAAATATATACATGTTAACATTTATCAGGCTGAATATTTAAATATTCTATATCAAATAATTTTATAAATGAAAATTCTAAAATGAAATTTTTGTTGTAGGATTTCGATATTTGGATTTATCCCTTGGGAGGAAATGCAGATCTTTCAGTTAGATGCATATTTTTCTCATGGGATAACTCTCATATTTATACCCTCATGTATCCACTTACCCCTAGTGTCCCTGTTAAATGTTCCACCAATAGGGTCGTTGCTTCTTTGGTTGCCTTAGCGTTGCTAATCTGTCCACGTACGATCACCGTAGTAACATAGACCTTGGGACGTTGTTTTATGGTTACCGTGACATTATATGTATCTTGGATGTGCTGGATTGGCTGTGATTGTGGGTCTGGTATGGGTTGGAGTACACCCGTGACAGGGAGCTCAAACATGTATACTAGCGGGAGAAGGTCCTACATGGGAACAACAGGAGAGTGAGATACAGTATACATACATACAGGGTTAGTGTTAACTGCTCGGGGGGGCCATTAACAGAAAAGTAAAGTTAAGAATTATAAGGTCCATTGTTTTCTAACTATGACATCATTATATCCATGGTTACAAAAATTGATTTACGAATTCTTAACTTTATAAATTTCTGTTAATGACCCCTTGAATCAATCAGGCAATACATATAGTTGTGAATTTGAAAATTACCCAACGGCAAGGTCAAGGTGAAAGACTATTCGCACCCAGCTGAAATAAAATATTGATGATCATAATTAAGTAACCACTTTCAGACATTTTTAGACTGAAGTAGTTAACTAAGAATCTTTTTTAAAAACTACTACTATGTGTTACAAACTACATTATGATTTTTTCCCTCTTAGGCTTAACACACAGGGAGGACAAGAAAATATTTCCGATTAATATTTAATAAGTGTGGTGACAGGGACAACTAGCAACAACACTATGTGTTTTAAATTAGAAGGGTTATAAGGCATATTGTGATACGACTGTAAAACCTGTATACAGTGAACACCTATGGAGCCACAAAAAATGTATTCACTATCGGAAGGTGTTCACTAAAGAGAGGTGTTTACTAAGACAGGTTTTACTGTAATAACCAAATGATCAAAAACTTTCCAATCCAATTTGAAGCTTCAATATGAAATGCTACAATGATAACTCTCTGTAATATAATAATACTGTACAAAATTATCAACACTAAACTACTGCTAAAGATATATCTATTACAAATACATAATATTTTTTTTTTTATTTTATTTTTTTCATATTCATTTAGTATTACATTAACAGTGGTGGCACTTGATACCAAAAAAGGGTAAATCAGTGCTAAAATCAAAAGTTGAACATTATTAAAAATATTACAATTTATATGAATTGAATGAAGCAATAGTAATGTTTTAATAAGATAGACCTAATCCATTTAAGATATGCATGAATTAAATTACTTACTCTTATTTTGACTCTAGCTTGCTCCACTCCAAGTGGCTGACCTGCGATTGAGACCTACAAAGAAAAAAACAGACATTAATTATTTTATATAAACTATATAAATTTGCTAAATAACTTCTTTTTTTTAAAAATGCTGTTATCTGTCATTTTAATATTGAATTAATTCATTATCTGATTTTTTCCTCGTACGATCACTGTAGTAACATAGACCTTAGGACGTTGTTTTATGGTTACCTGGACATTACAGTAAAACCTGTCCGATGGAATACCTCTCTGTAGGGAAAACCTATGAACAAGGAATGCTTTTCAAAAGAACCAAATATTTTTCCATTGACTTACATGTTAACGGACCCTCTCTGTAGGGAAAACCTCTGAACAGGGAACAAGGAACACTATTTTGGTGCAAATTATGAAAATTCACCTGTGAACAAGGAATATGGAATATTGGTGACACTGTATATTCCATTATTTTTCAGAGGTGTGAATATCTGATTCTAAAAAGCTTGGATTAATATGATTGAGATTAAGATAAGCCAATTGTTTACAAGATGTAGCATCCCACCCACTGTTAATTACCCGGATATATTTTAAAACTAATACTAATCTGTTTGTTACTAATTATCATGACACTAATTCTTCCTTTCAACAAACATAATTACATCAAATCAGTTGTGATAATCTAGGGATTGACACAATTGTTTTATGGAGATAACAGATAAGTACATGTGTCATGTTGAGCCAAATCTATCAACAATTACAACCACTAGACATCATCATATGCCAGCAGCAGCGGCTAAAATCAACATCGGGAGAATGCTCCTTACCCTCACCTAAAGGAGGGAGGTGGGAGACCTTCATGCATCTTCCAAGATGTCACAACAAGGTCTAGCAACCAAGTATGGAGTCGGCATTGGTAAAATCAATTAATGCCCAAATATATACAAAAAAATGTTTATTCGGCAATTCTGAGTTTGCTGTAAGTGCGGCTCCTCTCTATAGGGAAAACCTCTGAACAAGGAAACTTTCCTCCAGTCCGAAGAGTATTCCCTGTTCGCAGGTTTTACTGTATATGAATTTGAATATTACAATAACAAAATGTTCATGTTTCAAAAACCACAACCCACAATTAATTTATGCAATCCAAGACTTGACTTATATTTTATTTGAAAAGTGATGTATTTTCATTTTTATGATCGCCATTTTTGTTTCAGACAATTTCAAAATTTGTCAACACTCCTATCATTAAAAGAAATAAATTGTGCACATTTTCTGAAAAATTTAAAAGATGAGATGTTTGGTGACCTTTCCGAAAGTACAACTTCCATGTATTCCTTTCAAAGTTTAAGGTAGGCATAGCTGGTGTTAATTTTAGACCTTATTTTTATAATATAACCTCAAGCTATTTACTCATAAAATTTCCAAGCTATCCAAATGTGCTCTACTATACTAGTAGCAGCACAGTACATTCTTATCTAGAAAAAAATCCAAATCAATATATGTTACCATAGAAACCATGATGCCATAGTAATCAAAAATATAACACTGGGATTCTTATGACAAAGGACCCAAGATTATTCGCTCCATTCTGTCTACCTTAAGGAAGTATAGCTCAATTAAAGCTGTGTAAAAACTACACTTTGTTTTAGGAAATTGGGGACTTATAAAGTATTAACTACAAAGAGAATATTGATGAAAGAGATTTAACAGAGCCAACTGAAAACATCCTTTGGCAATGTTTTTTAAGGATTACAAATACTTTGTTCGCCATGGACAATATTTGAACTTAGCGCTCAAATTGCATTCTTTACATTTATACATGTGTATTAGCATTTTATACTATTACTTATGTGTATTCATTTATTATGGTATTAGTCAAATTCAAATGAATATATTATTCAAATGAATATATTATAATATCAAATAACTAAACTTTTTTAAAGAACAGGTCCATTTAACAGTATATTGGTCAACTTATAAAATGAATTCTTTTATTTTAAACCAATTGTGTGTCATACATAAACCTTTAGTCTTTAAATGTGCAATTTTAAAAAGTCATAATGGTTTTCAGCTTCTTAAAAAAATAGACAGAAACAAACCCTGGACATTCTAAAGCTGTCAGAAAATGGTGAAAAACAATGTATTTACAAATTATTTACTGAACCAGGCACTTATAACTTAAACTTATCAAGCGTCTTTAAGGAATTAGAGAACAACTGTATGAAATGCTCGTATCAAATATTTCAAGGTAAGTTTAGAAGACAATTGTCCTGTTATATTGAGTTTATCAAGAGAAGAGACTTACCCCCCTACCTTACCAGTAGCTCCCCCCATAGCCTGATGATCTATATCAACAAATAGTCATCTGTCATCACAGTCAGGTGATTTACTTTCAACACCTCAGAGTATTTGCATTATAAAAGGCTTCATTAAATAACGATATTAATCAATAAATATAACAGTCACTTAACCAGTGCCTGAAGGCTTAAGACGACATTTCCTTTACAGGTCAATAAAAACAACAAATTCAGAACATAAGAGATGTGAAATATACAGGTAGTCTCAGGACGCCCTTGGGTCCTTTAAGTGTTTTTTCTTTACATTATTAATGCTGCACTTAATTTCAGGACTTCAATGATTGCCATAATGATGTCAAAATCCTGGATCAATCCCATTTGGGCAAATGATGCAAGAACAAATTTTAGTCTCCAATCATCTAATTTGTCAGAGTCTCTCTTTCTCCACAGCTTGTCAGAGCCTGTGTATTCTAACTTAGAGATAGTACAGGATATGCATCATGATAAACCATGACATCTCATTTCTTCGCAGCCCTGAGATGTTTCCATGTTTCAGGTGAAACAGAAAGATGCTATAAGTATCAGAATGCAGGATATGTATCCTACAATGGTCTCAAATCATCTTAATCTATGCAATTGAGGTACACAAGGGCTTAATGCAAGACTTCCAAATTTCTCAGTGTAATTCTTGCATTCTAGAACTATTTATTTAGAAAATCAAGACCATTTAATTCGGACATATTGAATATTTATCCCATTAAATAAGCTAGTCCTGAAGCATTAAGATAACATTCAGATCTTTTACTAAGTCCCGATCTCTTAAAACTTTTAAACTAATATATACTCAACAACTCAGCACAATAGAAGAATTAAATATATAAATAAAGCTATGAAATTGTATAAACTTAATCCTTGTAGAAGAAATGTTGAAAATCCAATACAAGCGAAAAGTAAACACAAAAAGTTCTTGTCAATTTAGTCAAATAACCGATGAATAACTCTATTACATCAAGGTTTTTACTCAGATTCACCAACCTTAACCCTTTCAACTACTCAGGTTTCGCAGGGGCTGACTAAGAGAAGCATCTAAGATTTTACCATGTAAAGTAAATAGAGAAGTATTGATAGGGTTTATTACAATGTTTGACTTAGGACTTTATTCATTGCTTTGATTTGAAATTCATAGGAATTCCTGTGTGTTGATGTGATTTTTAGTAGTGCTTATAAGGGGTCTGTTACTGAGCAGACGATTCTTTTGAAAGTAGTTCCGGTATGAGTGTACAGGTATTCAGGCCTATTAAAGTGATAAAGGGACATAAATCAATAACCAACTTATAAATAATAGAGTGCTTTCATTGATTCTATTCAACCTGCTTCCTCATGTGTACGGACATCGCTATACTTGTCATCACTTATTGACAATGTAAATATACACAAAACAACAAATAAACAAATCATACAGAGTATGATGATATATACCTGAAAATAATATCTTTGTTCCAACTTAACAATACACTATACTTAGATACAAGCATGAGTTCTGTTAATCTACTTGATTTGGGCTTGTTTGTTTGTTTGTTTATTTGATGTTTCGATTTATTTATTTTTATATTTCAAGGTCTACTTGACTATAGTGGCATTTATGGACCTCAATAATTTTATGCTGAGAAAATTATTATTTCACATTAACAATACCTTAGTGACTGTCTAGATTGTCTATGTGATAACATGTATGATTTCAATACCCAAACCAACATGTCAGTTGAAACGTAAACATTTCTTACAAAACAGTTTTTGTAAACGGCAGTTCATAAATTAGTGAAGTAAGTTCTATCTAATTTAAATAAACACACCTGTCTAGTTTTCCTTGCCTATAAAAACAAATTCAGGGAAATCAAAAGATCTTAACAGTAAACAGGATACACAATCAGATAGTTCAAGGTTATTTCAATTCTTATTGTAGAACCAGCAAAGTTCAATAGTGAAGGCTATGGCTGGCTATTACTTTTCAGTTATTGCTTTAGAGATTCCATAATTCATTGTCATGGTAACTAAAATGCCAAAAATCTAAAAACTCATTATCTTAATCAATGTTTCATGTCAGTCTGATTATAATTTCCAAGGAATAACTACTTGTATTACTACAAATACAACAAGTAAAGTTCAATATTTCATCACCATTGTTTCAAGCCAATCTGGCCAATAGTTCTCCAGTTATCACTATGACATTTCTTAATAACATATAACAAGGCACTAACATGCAAAATGTTACCATTTGCCATTTGTTACAGACACCAAATGCTGGACACTGAACACCAACTGGTTAACACCAACCTGGGAACACCATCCACACAAAAGAGTTGGAGACCATAACAATATTTCACCATTTGTGGTGGTGACAAAAACTGAATATACACTCAAGCTTTATATTTCTGAAAGATACTGACCTAGTGACAGTTCATATAACCTTCATAAAATCCTTGGGAAATTTGAACAAGGCTATTCTATCTTTTTTTAATTCAGAAAATACAATGCTATCTCAGCATAAATCTTCAATGAATCAGTGGTTTATGGAAGTATAAAGGACTGACATGTTTATTGTAATGTTCTCAGATTTCTTTGTCTGATACGTATACATCTTGTGGCAATATGGACATTTTGTAATTATATTAAATACATTGTAGTATTATGAACATATTGTAGTTCTATATACATATTGTACTAGTTATATAAACATATTACAGTTATTTATTGTATGTCTGTAAACATATTGTAGTATTATGAGTATATTGTAGTTATTTAAACATATTGAAGTATTATGAGCATATTGTAGTTCTATAACGATAGTGTAGTTATATGAACATATTGTAGCTCTATAAATATATTTTAGTATTATGAAAATATTGTAGTTCTATAAACATATTGTAGTATTATGAATACATTGTAGTTTTATAAACATAATGTAGTAATATGAACATATTGTAGTTCTATAAACATATTATAGTTAAATGAACAAATTGTTGTTCGATAAACCTTTCTAAAATTTGAATGAAGTACATGATTTTCTTGCACTATATAATTTAGAGTGTTGACCACACATCTGTTTATTTTATTCCTTGCTCATTCCTCTCTTTTCTACTCTATTTTAGATTTCAAAACAAAATTGTTATGGCAATATTATTGTAGGTGGCTTATGTAACTCTAACATGAGACCTTCAGATTACGATTTAAAGGTTAATGATGTAATTGAAAGAAATAATTCCATGACATGATTCATGAGAAATTAAAAAATGAGGTCATCTTGACCTCATCTGTGACATTTATATTAATCACATATATTAATCAGGAAGAGACAGTCACTTATAATATATGGATTTTGATTTCTTAAAGATCAATTATTGTTCACAAATTGTTTTTATAAAGTCTTGAAAGGTGAGCACCGGAAATGGAAAAATTCAAACAATTTTGCCCGCTAATGAAATATTGGCTATGTAATTTTCGACTGCTTTGGCAAAACATAACACATTTAAGACATAAAAACAGATAAAATGGAAATTAGGATTTGCTAAACATTAAACAAAATGCTGAGTGAAAACTAGTGAGGAAAATGTGTGCAGCCTTATTGAATTTAATAGCTACCTTAAGAAACAACTTGTAATATATGTTAAGAGAGTGTAACATGCAATTTATATCTTAGCAAAATTGATCGACAGATCCACTAAAAACCCAAACATTGTTTATATGACAAACACAGCCTAATTTCAGGCACATAGTAATTTTACATGATTACAATTTGTAAGCACAAAAATGGTGTAATTATATAATTCCCTTTGCTATAGCATGAAACTTAAAAATGCATGACAGCTATAATACGAGAAACAGATAAGATCTATTCAGTGAAAATTACCATCTTTTTGGTATTTTAAGATCGAGACACTTCTGTGTCATGATTTTTAATTTAGGTACATTTACTTAAATTGAATGTATATATCATTTTTAGAAAATTTGAAATCTTGACTAAGGACAAGAAACTCTGCAACTAACAAAATAAACACATACAACTATTATATGCATGTATTGTTTATTTAGATTTTTGGCTTCCTATCCAATATTACTTAGATGCACAACCTGCCATTTGTTACAGATGCCAAACACCAACTGCAAGATGCTGAACACCATCCACAAAAAGTTTGAAACCATAACAATTTGTTGAACTTGAAGTGGCGACATAAAAATAATCTATGACATTATATAGATCTCATTTAAAAATAGTTTGAAATCTAATGAATACCTGCGGGGATTACAATTTGACTAAGTGATAGGAAAATCAGATCATTTGCATGACTCATTCAAATAGTTTACAAAAATAGAAACTTATCTAAGATTTTATCTTGATTTTGACCTTTCAAGTACAAATGATCTTGACAGTTATCAAACAAAATGATAAAAATAAAAATATTATCTTTTCATTTCCTGAAGGTGAAGGCGATTTTGTGTTACAATATGCAAAAATATCCATCGAATTTATCAAAATGTTGAGTTTTTACGCCATTTTTTATGTGAAGGGAACCAAAAGTGGCAACCTTGCCTTTGTCCAGGACCAATAGTAGGTGGACCATTTGACATAGACTTCCACACACGTAGGGCCAAAATTCAAGTATTAACATTACCCATAATGCAATATCCTACTTTACCCATGATGCAACAGCTTACCTGATTGCTTTTTTCTCCCTGGCTGCTCCTGTTGGAGTCTGGGAAGTGTATGTGACATCCTGTGTCCTGCATGACTGCTTTTATTTGATTACCTCCTTTGCCAATTACGTGAGAATGTTCCGTATGTGAGACATCCATCTTTAAAGTGACCCTGTTACTCTGAAATACAACAATTAAAATAAATTAAAACCAGTCTTTCAAAACACATCTCTTATGTAAACACCTCTCTATGTGAACACTTTAAACATCTAAAAAATGTGAACACCTGCCAATCTGAACACTTTTGGCCAATCCTGGCGGCGATCAAAGTAGACACATTTTACTATATAATGGAAGACTTCTCCATACTATTTGCAAAAGCTGTCACGAGAATATGTACTTTTATACTCTCACAGAATGTCAGGATACTTTTTAGCCTCAGTGAGAAACAATTTATACATTTCCAGCGTTCTCTATACAATTTATTTTTCAAATGAGTGCAAATTTTCATTTCCACAATCCGGACAAATATTGGTCAAAATATGCCCACATGATTTTTTTCATTTTCAGGTGGGTGCAATTGGATTTCAGGTGGGTGCAAGCCTGTTTTAAGCATTGTTTTTTCAGTTGGAGTAACTCAATTTTAAAGTAACTAGAAGTCCACGAAGACTGGTGAGTAGAACAAAAAAAAGTTGAAAGAGCTATTTTCTCATAACTTCAATGAAGAATTCTCTAAATAACTTTTACATTAAAATAAAATAACACAATTAATAAGAAATATATTTCTCTTTATTCCATCATATTTTGAGTTCTCATCTCTTGAAACCAAGTTCTACCATTATAGGACAGCATTTTTGAAAACCAAGCTATTTTAACGATGAAAGTTATGAACATTTAGTTAGCAAGACAGTCAGTCTACTTTCAAGTAGCCCTTACCAGCACCTTCATGTAATACATCATAAATAAATGATAATCAATCATCTTAGAACAGAACAGAAGGTACTACACTCCCTACCAGAAGTATAGCAATTATGAAACTCAACCGGAATGTGAGTTTAACTTGTTTCTGCTTGCATTTGCGTTCTCCTGATTAAATTAAGCCAGAAATTGATAAATGTTAGAAAATTGACAAGTATAAACAGGTTATATGAATATAGCTCAACAAGTGAGGGGTTGAGTTTTCCAAACTTTTGGAGGGGAGTGTATGTCAAGGTTCATCTACCTTTCAAAAGAACTACAATGACATATCTTCGAAAATCAATCGACAGGAGCTCATTGTTTACCGATATCCATTTGTACTCAAAACTGATGTCACACTGTCAGACAGCACAGCAATCTATCAGTACCTTTCTTAAAAAGGCAAAGATGGTCTGAGTATCAGAATGCCAGAGTAGGGGGTGAAGTTCGAAGGATACAAGGGACCCCCCCCCCCTCTAAGGCCAAAATTGTTTCAAAATTATGCAGTTTTTCACAATTTGTGGAAGAGTTTCAAATGTGAACCCCCTCCCCCTGGAATCTTTTGAAAAGTGAACCAGCCCCCCCCCCCCCCCCCCCCCCCCCTTGGCAAAGGCTGGCTACAGGCCTGGGTTTAACATTCATGTTTCTTCTTGAAAATACGGTCATTTTACAACAAATTCTGAGGTTAGACATATGTTTTTTATTAACATTTGTTTGTATTATTCTAGCCACAAGTATAGACTGGTATTGATATTATATGCCGTTAATAGGTTTGAATACATAACAACCTACTTTGATATTTCATTTAGGCTCAGTCACTTTGACTTACATGTTTTAAGGACCTACCGTAGATTCAATGAAGAAAATCGAGCTCGTAATACCTCAAGATTCAATTAAAAACTAAAATTAGCCTGGAATAATAATTCAGAGTATGAAACCCCATTGACTTAACATGGAAATCCATACTAAAAATTACAATAAAATCCCCCAAAATAGTTTGGTTGATGAGCAGAGATGATGTCATGATGTCAAAAAAGTATGCTAAGTTACCCTAGTTACCCTAGAACAGTGACACGTTCAACTTAAAGGCCCCCTCACATATGAACGAATCTACCAAACGAAGTCTTGCAATTGGGAACGTGAACATACGAACCGAAGCAAATCTTTGCGCATGCTTCTGAAGCCTGCCGAAGGGATACTCACATATACGAACACCAAAACGATGTACAACATACACATACTAATGGGAACGACTTTTACACAATTCCTATTCGCAAGACTGCGTTTAGTAGATTCTTTCATATCTGAGGAGGGCTTAAACATGGGTACATATTACAAGTATAAACATATCGATATAAAGCCCCTGCTTCTTGAGTATAACGTGGTTACCTTATATTGATCAAACGCACAACAAATCTATAACTATACATTAGTTCCACCGTCACCACACTATTTACGAACTATCTGACCTTACGTTTAAACAATGTTGGGGTCATATTTAAAACCATCAAGGCCAAACACTGTCTGTGACATTAATCTTTTTTTTGAGAGTATATTGAGCATATTATATACAAAGATTATCTCAAAAAGTATTCTTGATTAAACCGATCTTCACCATTAGAAAATAAGACATTTACATGACAAATTGGTAAGTTACTGTTAGTGGTTATAAAATTGTAACAATGCGTTACAGATATCAACCACTTGCACTGAATGCCTGGACACAAATTCTGAACGATGGCTTCAAAATAATAATAACAATGTATGACATCACTTCCTGGTGATTCAAAAGTATGGCATACATAAACCATGTTCTGCTGGCTACTTAATTTAGGTTTTTGGCCGCAAGTTCATTTTTTACATCCGGTTTATAGTACACCAAGCCAAGACTAATTTTTCACATGCAAATGCCTTTGTTGGTCAAAATAAACCCATATCAAACATGAAATCTTTTTCATAAAAACAATATATGCCACTTATATTTTAATTTGGTAGGAATAATGGAATCATACATTAGGTAAATAAAATATTCTGATTGGGTAAGGCTAAATCAAAGGTTCAACTCTAACCCAAAGAGTGTAGATGAAGTTCTCTTTTAAATAAGCAAAATAAAAAATTTCGGAAGGGGTAACTACATGAGGTTTTTGCATCAAAGATTCAACGCAACATTTATTATAAAAATGTCCTACAAATATGTCAGTACCAGTGTGACACATCCAAAATCATTATAATTATCTCGCTAAGGGGTCTTCAATATCAATTGATATTGAAATGGTCAATTCATTTGGAAAAAAATTGTAAATATCAAGTGCAAATCCTTTAGGCAAAGAAACTAGTACTAATTTGAATCATGAACCAATAATTTAGAATAATACACGTATATCCTAACACCTTTCTTATATGTAGGCCTCTGAATCTCTGATGCCGTGAGCATATTTGCTTCAATTTTCAGTAACGGCAACCAAATGATGAGTATTTTGTTTGAAATTGTATTCAGTTTTGAACGCAAGAGATGGCAAAGGAATGCCTTACAACAATGTGCCTCAATTATTTTTTGCATATCTCGATACACCAATAAGCTACTGTACATGTCCGCAAGTTACCTATGGTATATAGGGGGGGGGCTTTATCATCACAATACCCCTTTGTATTGAACATTCCCACAAAAGGGGCAGGTAAGAGTGGGTCTTGTAAGTCAGAATGAGGCTTGATTTGCCTCAAAAAAATCTGTAAGATTTTCTATTTTTTCCAAAAATTTCAAAACTATATTTTCAATCTCTGATTGAATACTTAAACAATCTACCAAAATATTAATTTCTTGGCCTGACAGACATTCCAAAATCTTCAAATAAAAGTACTTCAAGATGAGATAACATATGATGGAACAATCACGAAACATCAATTTTAAGATTGAAGATGATCTCATCGGGAACACTGACATCACTGTTCATGACTCCAAAAGTGACAAGGAAGATATTAAGTAAATTATGTGCTTTATATATGTGATAACATGTGCTTTTATGGGATAACATACTTTTATGTGATAACAAGTGCTTTTATTTGCAAATATCTGCTTTTATATACTGATATGTGCGTTTAAACTGTCAAGAGTAGAAGCAGGAAAGGCAAATACAAAAATTACAAACTGATTTCGAGCGTTAACATCAGCTGCCTCTAGTCAGATCGACTAACATAACAGCCTTTTTTGGGGTTGTCGAGTTGGCCGAGAGGGCTTGAACGCCAGCACGTTCAGGCTAGGCGATTGGGCGCCGTAACCACGATGTAGCGAGTTCGAGAGGTGTGTGCTCCTTGTGTTTATTCATTTCAAAATATTGATGAAATTCTCATGTTTTGAAAAGTTGTAGGTTGCTTAGAACGTGAGAGAAAATATGATTTCCACATTTGGTTTATGTCATTGGGTCAAATGAATAAAAATACTCCTAAGATAAGATGTGAAGAACCCCTCGGTCATTGCCAAAGTAGAAGGTGTAAAGAAAGAAATGAGACATTGTTTTACGTATCTGTTTATTAATTTAAACTGTTTCACTTTATATGAAAATTATTTCTTATAAGAGCTCCAATTGAGAAAACTTTTTACAAATTGTGATTTCTGAAACAATCTTTTAATTTTTAAAAACTACACTGCACATATAAGCATATAGTACTTAGGCATTTAAATAATACATATATTTCCAGGATCAACATGTGCCTCTTTAAACATCAGAAGAATCAGAATTTGGCTCTTTAAACTTCCTGCTTGTTAATAATCTGGCCCGTAGCCCCCTGACCAAAATGTATTTCAAAATCATGCAGTTTTTCACCATTCTGACTATTTTTTGAGTGATTTTTGGCCAAATTTGCCAAAGTGAACCCCTCCCCCTAGAATTTTTTGAAAACGTGAATCCCCCTTGGAAAATTCTGGCTACAGGCCTGATAACTAAACCTTATTCAGTATTAGGAACTTTTACCAAGGAAACTATTATTCTAAAATGACCAGGAAATACCTTGGGATTGGCAAATCAGGTTCAGTGAGGTCAAAACCCAGATTATGTTGAACATTTCAAATAAATCCAAAACATAATATCAATATTTTTTTAAGAATTTTATACATTGCATAACAAAAGTAACAAAACCTATATTATTTTCCTATATCATGGAAAATATAAATGAACCGTAAAATATTTTGATTAAAGTTATTTCAATGTAATAATGACCCTTCCATGGGCATTCCTTTCTTAAACATGATCATTGCCATATTACTTGGCACGTCTTATATTTAGAAAACACCATTATATTCAAAATCACATTATTGAATAAGTTCAATAATTGAAGTCAGGTTTAAAATGCAGCAAGTAGTTCTAAATGAACAGCATATCAATTTGAATTGAAATTCGAAAACTGAATTAAATTGTTCAAATAATTTGTTCAACAATGCAGGCTTAAATCCTGGTATAAATAATATGTTTTCATTTATGATCAGACATGGATTTGATGGCCAAAATATATACCAGTTCACAAGTTTATCGCTTTCATCACTCATTTTGAGTAACGCCGTGGTCACATTTGCTATAATTTTTAGAACTGGCACCCGGCCCGTATCTAAAGTATCCCAAACCCTACAAACATTTTAAACACCCTGTATTTCAGATTTACCTCATGCAACCTTTGCCAAATATGACAAATACATTACACTTACCTTTCCCATCTTATAAAGCTTTTCAAAAATTATATTTTCATTAATTTAAATTCATAATATAAAAGCACTGCTTTTCCATCAATGCTTTTCAAAACAAGTCTAGAAAAAATCACTCTAATTTGTATCTCTACATACTTAAGAAATTATGGGAATCAGCAAAGCGGCATGTTATGTCCAGATCCATCAATCCATGGTCTTAGCAGTGGTATTATGGCTAACTTGCGAGGGAGGGCAACGGGGACATGTGATATTGAGGGGGGGGGGTAACAGGGACAAGTGACATTGAGCAGTCAATGACCGATGCATTAGCCAACTCACGGCAGTAACTAATAATGAGATGTCTACAAATCATTGTGCAAGTCGGCGAGTAATTATCACACCACTAGTCTGGACAATACCTCTGAAAACGGTGATAGGATTTTCTTTTCACTAACCTTTGTGTCCAGCACTGTCATAACTTGCTCTTTAGCTTGGTTTACATCTTCTGGGCGCCCCATCACTTTAATATGTGGGTCTGAAAGTATAAAGCCATAAATATTCATTCTCCTGTTTTTGGATTCTTGTATGCCTGACCCCCTAAAATACAGTATGTCCTTGATTAAAGTGGTTTACATCTTCTGGGAGCCCCATCACTTTAATATGTGGGTCTGAAAGTATAAAGCCATAAATATTCATTCTCCTGTTTTTGGATTCTTGTATGCCTGACCCCCTAAAATATGTCCTTGATTAAAGTGGTTTACATCTTCTGGGAGCCCCATCACTTTAATATGTGGGTCTGAAAGTATAAAGGCATAAATATTCATTCTCCTATTTTTAGATTCTTGTGTGCCGACCCCCTAAAATATGTCTTTGATTAAAGTGTTGTACCTGTGTCTGGGAACCATTTAAATGAACACCTTAAAATATTACAATGTCTGATAGGCCATTTAAATATATTTTATACTCATTGATTAACTCTGTTTAACTCTATTTTTTATGTATAATTATATTGATTAATATATAAAAATTAAATGATAAATAAAAATTAAGAACCTGTGAATTGATTACTGTATTTTTTACTATTGTAATTTTGCTGAGATTCTTATTTCTAAAACCCAACCTGTACCTAGCTGTATTCAGGTGTTCTTTGACGTCATAAATGTACAAAAATTAAAACTAAAACACCTTACTTCCTGGTTGGTGTCAATTAAGTGGAAATACCTTCATCAACCCCAACAATTAACTAACTTAGATTAACATTTTTTTAAGTTTCTTAAAAGCATATGGTTAGCTTCATATCAGTTTAAACTGTTTTTATGAAGCCCCGTTTCTTTAGAAAACCACAATTATTCTAATTTTGAATACTGCATTGTCTCTTGATGTGATAGATCCATGAATCATGTCACAAAAACTAGCGTGACATGCCTGATGTGGTCACATAAATATTTTTCGTCAAATTATAAAACATTTACCATGTTTCGGTTCATGCTTCCTTTTTGAAGTTTGAAAAAGTTCCTAATTCATGTTTTAAGAACTTTTTATGTTATTTTTGCAGACCTGAGACAGCATTAGCGTAACCATTTTCAATAATTTCATTTTGACTCTTGAAAAGAGAACTTCATCTACCTGGTGTATTTACATTTACCAAGTTTCGGTCCATGCTTCCTCTCTTAAAAAAAAATTCATGTTTTAAAAAATTTTTATGTTATCTTTGCAGAGCTGAGATACCCCAGTGTAACACCTTTCATTAATTTGATATTTGATTTTGTTTCTTCAAAAGAGAGGTTCATCTACATGGCCTCCTAGGATAGTCCTTACAGTGATCTCCTCAGGAATTTTTCTCAGGTGTGTGCAAAACTCTCATTTTCACAATTCAGACAAAAAATTTCAAAACATGCCAATTTTTCTCATTTTCAGGAAGGTGCAAATGAGCTGTAAAATTCTTTTTATTTGAAGCTTCTAGCTCAATTTCGAAGGAAGTTAGATCAATTTTTGTAAAATTCAAAACAAATCTTGAAAATGTTGATTTGCCTTGCTTATGCCATGATTGCACCCCCCCTAACTGAAACCCCCAAAAATTGGTTATCGCGCCCCCCCCCCTGACTGAAAGCTGGCTATGCCCCTGCTGATCTTTAACAAAGCTCTCTTATAAACCAATTCAATACAGAAATAATAATAATATAAATGATTAGGTCCAGAACTAGAATAATAAACAAACCATCAGAACATCCCTCCATATTATGCTATTGTAACATATTGTTAGAAATTACGAAACTGAGCAAACTACATTGCAACTATTTTCATGATAATAACTATTTTCATGATAAAAATATAACTTATATTCCAAATATGGTATTGCCTTATTTTTGCAACATGAATACTCTCAAGGCCTACTTACAGTAAAACCATTATGTGATCAACATATGTTCTGTAACTAAAGGGGATCTGATTTACAAATTAGGTTGCCAAATAAATTCTTAAAACATATCAAATTCACGGGAAAAATTTTGGCAGATTTGTACATTATTTTTTTCTTTGGGGTACAAACTTTTGCCTCAATTTGTGCTGGGAGTATAATTTCAAATTTGCTCCATCCTGAATTCACAATTTAATACAGTATTTGGTTGCTTGAGAAAAGCACTCAAAGAGAGAGAAAAGTCTTCTGAAGAGTGAGAAGGAAAAGGATTTCATATGTTAACAAGAGGGGTGATGCAATGAAAGATGTACCTAGAAGGAAAAGGATTTCATATGTTAACAAGAGGGGTGATGCAATGAAAGATGTACCTAGAAGGAAAAGGATTTCATATGTTAACAAGAGGGGTGATGCAACGAAAGATGTACCTACCCATATTATAAAAACATATATACTAAAGAGAAGTGTTCACTAAAGGAAAGTGTTCATTAGAAGAATTCAAGAAAGATGCTAAGAGTAAAGCGAAGGGAATTCAGTAAAAGAAGTTCTTATTATCAAGGCATATTTACTTCAAAGAGAGGTGTTTGTTATAGAGAGGTACTCAGTATGAAGGTTTTCATGAGAGTGATGTTGAAAGTAGAGAGAGCATTTAATAATATTGGTTTAAATGTATACTTATATACAAGTTCATGTAAGTATATACATTTGCTTTCATATCAATTGCCCTCATTCACCTTTTGTGAAACTGACATGTCAAACTTTATCCAAAATTTAATTTATCAAATACTTTCAACAATTTCAAGGGCATGTATATATGGGCCAATCAAATGATGTTATTTTATTATTATTTTTGTACTTAAAATGATAAAAATATTGCAAATCACCCCGCTGCTACCAACTATAGCCAATGAAGAAGGCATGATTTGCCATGATCGCGATAAATGGGCAGCATTGATAAAAGTATTGAAAAAAGGCTCAGTCATGAAATGGCATTTATTTAAAAGGGCATTCAATAAGATTTATGAAAGCTGCAGGGATCTTTTAATTTGTTTATATTTTTGCATCATGTTGAGGATTGACCCTCAAATTAATACTGTTAAACCAGTGCATTTCTTCAGTCATATGAATATCTTAATTGCTCAAGATGCCCTTTCAAGGATTGACCCTCAAAATAATACTGTTAAACCAGTGCATTTCTTCAGTCATATGAATACCTTAATTGCTCAAGATGCCCTTTCAAGGATTGACCCTCAAATTAATACTTTTAAACCAGTGCATTTCTTCAGTCATATGAATACCTTAATTGCTCAAGATGCCCTTTCAAGGATTGACCCTCAAATTAATACTGTTAAACCAGTGCATTTCTTCAGTCATATGAATACCTTAATTGCTCAAGATGCCCTTTCAAGGATTGACCCTCAAATTAATACTGTTAAACCAGTGCATTTCTTCAGTCATATTAATACCTTCATGGCTCAGGATGCCCTTTCCCTCTTTCACTCTCTGATACAAACAAGACAATACAAAATTAAGAAAATAGGGGCAGGGGTAGATAAAGAGAGGATGGTATCACTGACTTTACCCTTTGCATCCGCTTGACTGGTTCTTAGAAAATACATTTTAAACTCTTCAGTGAATTGGCAGTAAAGTTAGTAACATGTACTACATTGACTGGAACCATCGTTTTAATGTAATATAGAGCCACCTTAAAGGCATTATGGTAAGTTATGCCCTCTCCATCTCTATCCTTCTGGATGCGACGGAGAGCTATGCTATGATATCAAAATGCCTACAGGGCAATAACCAAAAGATTATGACTGAAAGTTAGAAACACACCTTTTCTCGTGACAGGCCCCGGTTTAGCTGGTATAGATGTCGCCACAATCCTGCCATCAATAACACGGAACGGCTGCTTAATCAATGGATTCATAAAAGGAATCATTCCATTACGTAATGAAAGAACTTGACTTGCCACTTGTTTTTCCATCCTACTTAGGTGATTGCACTGTGATTTCTAAAGTTCTTGGGTGATTGCTAAAGTTTTGAAGTGATCGCTTATTTTGGTTGAGTGATTGCTTATGTTGTCATGGTTTTTAACTGTATATTTGTACTTATTACTAATGACTACTGATAACAACAATGAGTTCTTTGTTTGTGTTTCCTGTAATAATGTCAGATGCAAGTCTGCGCTTTTGTTTTCAGATCAATCTGATGGTTCATCCTTGCATATAAAGAGATAGCAACATATCAATAATACTGACATTGATCTACTTCTAATTATTAGGTTAAACTTTTTTAATAGATATTTTCAAGAGTATATCGTCACCTTAACTTTTCACCTTGTATATTTTGATATTTATTTTTTCTTTCATCGAGTCATGTTTCGCTTTCTTTGATCTCCCAATGATTTCACAAATATGAATGAGTACATTAGAGTACTATAAACCAGATCTGATGCTGATCAAATCCCAATGCTGATGATCAAATCCTAAAACTGATGATCAAATCCTGATGCTGATGATCAAATCCTAAAGTTGATGATCAAATCCCAATGTTGATCATCAAATACAAAGGTTGACAAAATTCAAATCCTGATTTCTCAAAGTTAATGTTATCAAAAGTAAAGTGTCACCATTCACCATTCTGTTCAAACTAAATCTAATCCAAATACAACATCATATCTAAATCACATCTTAATCTAAATCCAGGTAAGACCTTATTTGGTTTACTCTCAGCTCAGTCCATTATTTTCATAACTTAATACATCTTGAAATCTTAGACACTGTTTTGTGTTTATATCTATAGAATGGTCTCTCTTTACATCGGAATGATTTAAATCCAGGTCGTATAGTTTAGTGTAATCTTAAATCCTCTCGCAAATGCACTCTATGCACTGTTGACTGACTGAATATATTTCGTAAACCTCAACTCTTAAAACATGGGATGTGAATGTCTCTGTATTAGTATTAAGTTGTCACTTTTTCCAATATTGAATCACTCCTTTTGCCAAAACTTCTGCTCATTCAGGTGTGAACCCATAGGTTGTATTTGTAGGTAAGGCCAAACCCGTTCAAAAAATGTTATTTTAGTTGTGTCTTTTTCAGTTGATTGGTCTTAAAAAT